TCTATATATCTATGTAAAATCGATATTTATCGAATTTCAATATGCCCATTTCCAGGGTATACAGGGTATACAAATCAAACAAATTTAAAGCAGAATCCGCCAGCATCGCTTGTGTGTGGGCATTTGAATTTCCTTTTAATACGCGCTGCCCCCTCCGCGGCAAACGCCCAACTTGGTCATATCAATGGCCAGCCAGCACGAAGACGGCTACCAAAACTGGCCAAAAGCCAAAAGCCGCCGTCGCACGGCTAAAAAGTCAAAGTCAAAGCCAAAGTTGCTTCATTTTTCAGTTTTGTGTGAAGGCGGCCAAAAAGTATATACATATATATAGATATATATAAAAAAAAAAAAAACTTTCATTTTTGTTGGTCTGTGGAAAATAAAATTAATGAATTTTAATCAAGTGGACGCGGTGGACAACGGCCGACAAATGTGTAGGGTATGAAAGATCTGTCTGTGCCTGGCAATGGCATTGCCATTGACCTCGCCGCAAACGTGCAACAGTTGAACTCGTTGCGGCTGCAGCGTGCAACGTGCAACGTGCAACGGAAAAGCCGCGCGCCTGGCACCAGCTGCAGAAGGAGGCCGTCGCCATTGAATTGTTTTTCTTTTGCCATTTGATTAATTGCAGCGATTGTTGTTGTTGTTGTTTTGTTGTTGTTGCTGCTGCTTTTCCACAATTAAATCAGAGTTGGCAAACCATAAAACACACACACACACACACACACACGCGTGCGGTTAAAACAACACAAGAGCATGTAATATTAATTGATTGTTGCAGTTGCATTTGCACTTGCCTTTGCTTTTGGCCAAAATTAAAACTAATGCGGTTTTATGGCAGGCTTTGCTTTCTTTTCAAGTTTAATGAACGTTAAAAGAGAGAGGGAGAGAGAAGGGGGAGGCGTAGGGGGGTAGGCTGTTGTCTTTGTGCTTAGCGCGATTGCGGCATCAATCGCAGGCGCATTGAAGGTTGCTGCCCGCTGCTGGTTGCATGCCGCTTGCCACTTGCCGCTTGCCATGTTGCAATGTAAATGCAGGCAACGTTTTGTAACACCAAATTATTTTGATTGCCTGCAAAACCATTTTTCAAGTTCCGCTTTTGAGGTTTTGCTCTCGATCGAGCGTTACAAATGCAATTAGGGGCCGAGGGGAAGGGCAACCACATCTATGATTAGCATTTAGCTTTTTCTTACAATGAATGCACACGATTAGCAGCTTTGTAGGGCTTTTAGTTAGAATATGAATGCAAAATGCCCAATATAGAAAGTTAACTCCAGTTAAATGTGAATTTTGAGGCTACTTCTCCAACTGTTCCCACGTATTCATAGATAAATATTCGGTAATAAGTCTATTGAATATGGATATATACAACAAAAACTGTTCTCATTTACTTTTTAAAGATATTATTCTATTCTATAACCCTCGATTCATTGTTCTATTAACAAAAAGACTAGTCATTAACTGTTCCCATTTATTTATCCTTTAGATTTCAAGATCTGTTCTCACTCTTTTTACAAATATTTTTTCTACTTACTTTAATTTTAGAAGATCACTTTCAATACAAGAAAAACTTTCTAATTAGAGTTCTTCTTGCAAACCAGAAATGTCATATATTCCCACTTTTTATTCCTTTGGATTTCTGCCTTAAAAAAATGATACTGTTTCTACTATTTTTGAATTTTGACATTTACTCATATGTTAGCTTATAAAAAACTTCAGAAATTTTCCAACTGAAGACAGGTAATGTTACACGTAAAGACTGTCTATTCCGTGTTCTAATTGTCACAAGAAACCCGTCAGAAACTGTTCCCACTTATTTGGCTTTAAATACGTGTATTCTCCTACACATTTGAATCGCCCAAGATTTGTTCAATAATATGTTAAACTGATTTTCTCAATTAATACCAGTTTAAGGCTAACACCAAAATGGTCTTATATGCTTTTTAAGCCGACAGCTCACAGCATTCCAATCCGCACTCATCACAGCTCAACTAAGTAAGTTCTGTCAATGGGCTGTCCGTGAGGTGAATGATAGGCCCAGGCTTTGGGTAAATTAATTTGGCGCCGCTGGCAGCCCACACAGAAATCAATCGGCATTTGCGAGCCATGAATGAAACGCCCACATGAAGAGCAGCCGCAGCGGCGAGCTGGCGGAACTGTGATGCGATCACAATCGATGTGATTGAATGGTCTAATTAGAGGCTGCTTTTGACATAATTAGCGTGTAATGATAATTGTAATGACAGGCGCTCAAAGAGTTGGACATGTCTGGCAAATCGTCGGCCCCAGCTGACAAAACGCCCCGCCAAGAGGCCCCGTCGCTTACATCACAGTCATCACGATTCGCCAGCTCGACCAGGGCCAGCGAAGTGTGACTAAGAAGCGTTTCAGGCGCTCTTCCTATGCCCATTCCTATTGCTATCGCATTGCCGTTTAAACAGAACTCGGCTCGGGTTGGGGACTTTGTGTGCTTAGTGGGCGTAGAATTTCGCACATGCCAAGCATAAAACTCATCTCATGTATCACTCGACTTAAAATTTGTTTTCCAACTCAATGCATTTCTACAATGCTGTGCGGAAAAATTTCACAACAAGGCCAGTTGGAAATGCATTATACGAATTATACGAACTTTTAAGAGATAAAAAACACACAGTGAAAGAATCAAAAAATCAACATAATATAAACCAAAATTGAAGAGAACGTGTCCAAGTACTTAATTAACATATTTAAACGACGAAGGTCATTCGAAACCTGATTATTACAATATAATCATATGCAGCTGGAAACATTTGAAATTCTTATTTAGACGCCACAAATTGTGTTTCGTTTTTAAATACTTAATTTCCTATTACGCAATACCGAAATTCTCTCAAAAAGTAATCCAAACTTTAAACTTGCCATTAGAAATCGGAAATATTCAAATAAACAGTTTGGGCATGATGGCATTATTTCGGAATAGTTTGTATATAAAATCAATTTTCGATTCATAGAAAATCGACGTAAATAAAAGAAAACGAAAGTCGCTCAATCAAAATATTTAAATGGATTAATTTCGAATAAGCTATTTGCATATAGAGCGTTGGGTTTTGGTGTTTATCAATTTGCTGCGTGACCGTTTTGGTGGCAAGTTTGTGGCTTGAGTCTTTTGTTTGGCACAGCCAGAGAAACGATAACAATGCCTATCGATATTAATAACAGTAAAAGACGCAATGCAACAGCAACAAGGCGAACACTTTAATGAGCTTGTATTGGCATAATTGCCGCTGTCAAGAGGTAGCAACAACAGCAACAATAAATGAAATGAATGTCTAGATAAAACACAGCTTGTTTATATCTATAACTGGTTTCCAGTCATTAGTAATGAAACAATCATAGTTATTTAAACAAAATGCAAATGATTGCGTCACTTTCGACCGCTGCACACGGGCAAAGCAGATAAAAATAAAAACGAAAATAGAAAAAAACAAAATACAAACTCACATTTAAAGTGCGCGCTTACGAAACGAAATGAATAGCATTAAAAAGAAAAAAAAAATGAATGAAAAAGATAACTGTGGCTGCCGTTTTGCCATCTACTTAGTGTGGCAAATGAAATGCGCAAATATTGGAATAATGGAATAATGGAATGTGGAAAGCGGGCGCAAGTCTTGTTAATGTCTTAAGCAAATGGCTGCTTTTCGTACTTTTTGCCTTGTGCTAATTGCAAGTGTGCTAAATTCCGGCTGCTAATTAAAAAGGCCGCCCCAACAATGGGCGAGAACTGTCGAAAATAGTTTGAAACTAAACAACACTGAAACGCAGTGTGCACTAAATTACACAGACGACGTTGATTATTTACGTACAAAACAGACAAAAGGGAAATAAAAACACAAATATGCAGCAGCAACAACAATGAGAGCAGGTGCCTTCTAACTGACGCCTGCTCCTATACAATCCTCTCTCTCTCTCTCTCTCTCTCTTTTTCGTTTTGTGTGCGTGTGTATGTGTGTAGCTGCGACGTCAGCGGCGCATGCTTGCAATCTTTCACTTTTTTGTGTGGCTGCGCTGGCGCGCTCCACTTTTTGTAAATTATTTCTCGTCTCTTTCCATTATTATTATTTATTTTTGCCTTGATTATACACACGCGATATATACATACATACATACATACATATGCAAGTGCATGGCTGGAAAGTTCGCTTTAGACGGTATGCACTTTGGAGGCCCTTGGCTCCTCTGTTCTGCCACCAAGCGTTTGACATACTTTGTATTTCAGCATTTCAATTGTTTTCTGTTATTCTTTAGTGTTTTGGTGTTTTTTTGTTGTTTTTCGTTTTTAGCTTTTTGTTTCGTGTGTTGTTTTCTACGCAGCTAAACAACTTTCTTCTCATGCGTTTTGAGGGGCGCGCGTTGTGCAAAAGTATTTATGATAAATTTCACACACACATGCAAACGGCATAAGCATAAGCTGGTATAGCAACAAAACTCGCCACTAAAACACACACACGCATACGCATACACACACACACACACACACACTCACACTCTCGCACACAGTTCAGTGAGCAGAGACACAAATGTTTGAGATTCTTTATTATATATTAAATTTTTGGCATTTTTGTAATATTTTCGGTTTGTGTGTGAGTGTGCAAACAACGGCGCAACAATATACCAACACAAATGCAACTGTAAACGGGAATGTAACAAATTTCATTACCAAACGAGCACATACATATAAACACACACAAGTGCAGGGCAAAATAAAACCGACCGCTTCGCACGCTTATTCGTTGACGATCGCTATGGAACTGATCCGAGCTTTGAGACATGTGCAAGCTCTAGGCCAAACAACGAGCTTTGAGTCTGTGCTGGACTGTTAACTAACAGAACATGTAAACATAGAGATGAATAGAAACTTGGTATACCTGTTTTAAGGGTTTCAAAAATAATAGCAAACAAACAAACTATGGCCAGTAGTAGGCGAAATAAATAAGTGTAATTCAAATTGGATTTTTTCACAACAGCTACTACTTTTAGTGTTGTAAAAAGCGATTGCACCTGCTACGGCTTGCGCTCGAGATAAGGGAAACAGCTGATGGCACAGATATCGACGCGCCGCCACAGTCAGTTATCGTCCAGCGTCAAATCTAACAAACAACTATTGGCAATTGGACTAAATTGCATTTTTGGGTTGGCTTTCACAATAGGATGGGTAATTCTATCGGTATCGTAAGCGAGGACGATGAATCATTTGACATAACCGAGGATGGATTTGGTTACAATGTTATCAATTTCACAGTCAACACCATGGACGTGCATTTTCGTGCCCAAAATAATCACCCGAACAATCTGCCCGTTTGTGAAAAGCCAAATGTAGATAAATTTCGAGTGAGCATGATATTCAAAATATATTCGTTTGCACCGATGACTAATACATGGCCCATTGCAGACCACAGACATGTACAAAGAGGTAAGAGCACGCAGCAGCCTGGCCAGCAAGCCCACAGAGCAGCGCTGGAATCTGATGCACGCACTGCAACAGCGCGAAAATGGCCTCGCCTCGCCTGGCAGCGACTCGTTCTCACCAAATCAACAGCGCTACTTCTCCAACATGTATATACCCAATCATAGATCGATGCGTCTGATGTCTCTGGACGCCAAAGTGTTTGTGACCAAGTTCAATAAGAGTGGCAGCAAACTCCTGACGGCTTGTCAAAGTTAGAAATCTACTTAACTGGTTTTGAATGAAGTTAATGCGCAATTATCTTGCAGATGGCTTTGTGCGTATCTATGATGGCTCCAAGGGCACGTATCACTTGCTGAATCGCATCAATGCCCGCGATGTACAGTGGAGCATCACGGATGCTGACTTCAGTCCGAACGGTCAGCATTTTGCCTACTCCACCTGGTCGCGCTCATGTAAGTCCCATTTGAGGCCTTGAGCTTCCATGTTAATTTTCCACTTTTTCCAGTCTATATAATGTCACTTAATGGCTCCGACGACGATTGCCAGTGGATCGATGTGAACGAGACATCAAGCAGTCGAGTCGCCATATTCTCGCTTCGCTACTCGCCCACGGGCGACAAGATTATTGGCGGCAGCAACAATGCCACCGTTATAGTGGGCGATGTTCAGACGCGTGCCACACAGATTCTACGCACACATCGCATGCCCCAGACGGACGTGAATGCTGTTAGCTATGTGAACAACAATGATCCAAATGTGATAATAGCCGGTTGTGACGATGGCCTGCTCAAGGTGTACGATTTGCGCACATCGTTTCGCAGCCGCAGTCTGTCCAAGTGTGTGGTTTCGTTCATTGGACACTTTGATGGCATTACGTACATTGATTCGCGAAACGATGGCTACCATGTTCTTTCCAATTCCAAGGATCAGAGCATTAAAATCTGGGACATGCGCCAGCCCAGCAATCTGCGTTTTCGCAGCAACGCACGACAGCATCAGCTGGCGATGACCAATTGGGATTATCGCTGGGACCGCGTGCCGCGCGAATGTAAGTAACTAGTTTTGATACTTCATATATAATTGTTCTATACATTTATATCTATATGCGCGCAGTTTACAATCCACACAAGGCGCTGGATGGTGATAGCAGCATAATGACATATCGCGGGCATCGAGTTAGCAAAACCCTGCTGCGCGCCAAATTCTCCCCGATGGAGCAAACCGGACAGCGTTTCATATACACAGGCTGTGCCACAGGGCGTATTATAAGTAGGTGCTATTAACTTATGTCTAAACACCTATTAATCATGTTCAATTTGATGCAGTTTATGACGTGCTGACTGGCAAAATTCAAGAGGCTATTGAGGGACACAAGAATGTTATACGCGACCTGGACTGGCATCCAGTGCGCTCTGAAATTGTCTCCAGTTCGGTAAGGCTGATAAGGCGTTGCTTTTTGGTTTTGTGCTGTGACCTTAACCTTTGATATCTGCAGTGGGATACGCACGTGAATCTGAACAACTACAACCGGAATATGGCCACACAAAATTTGAAGCGTCGACGCAGCCAAACGCAGGACACAAGACCTTTGCGACGTTCGCGTCGCCTAGCTAACCGTAATAACTTGCCTGACTAGATTAAGCAATTATTTGTTTTTTAGCGTTGCCTTTTGATATTGCATGTTGTATAGATTACGTTACATATTTAACATTAGTTAATATATAAGATAATTACATTCAGTTCTTAGGGCTTACCAAGAAATCAGACCACCAACGCTATAAACCAAAACATCACACATAGACATAAAATTCCCTCTTGGTTCTCGCGAACAAGACTGAAGACACATCGTAGAACTGCGCCAGCAGCCATTACAATCCCAACATACCCGTTACCACAAAACTCAGGCATAATTTTAATGTATGAGCGTACACTTCCCTGGTATCTAATCTAATCTGAGGCCTAGCGTGAAACTGCGCTAGCAGGCTCTGCAATCCCGACAACATAAAACTCAGACATCATTTTAATGTATGAGCGTACGTTTTCCTGGTATTTATTATAAAGTATTTTATTGTTACATATTAAACATGAAACTATGTACAAAATCTAATTATAAAAACTTAATGTTTAAGAATTCAGATGTGAATAACATTTTGTTTATTGCCTGAGCTCTAGATGCCTGAGAAGGCCTTAACTTTTACTATTTTCCTAATATCCGCCTGCTTCAATTTTTGATGTTTTATTTTACTGGCGATGTAGCGTACTTTATTCTTAACACCACCCATATATTTGTCCTCTTTACCCTCCCATAGGTTTAAAATACGCTCCGCATCGTTTTTCACCTCCACAATCTTCAGTTCAATATTGTTGTCCAGCGCGTATCCAGTTATTTCAGCCAGCGTCGCGTTCTTGAATGCATTCATATTTAATATGTGAAATTTTTCTGCACAAAATGAAGAGATTTTGAATACATTGTATGAGTTTTGTTTTTCAATTAATTGCTCCATTGATAAGAGTTCGCTGCTATCCTTTGCTGCCGACGAATCGCTGGAGCATATATTATCAGTTTCTGCTGCACTTACTTCGGATTCGAGCGTCTTGGTAGTTTTCTTCGCTTTGGCAGGTGGAGGCTCTGTGCCGGCTGCTGCCTCTGTCGGCGGTGTATCCACATCGGCGACCTGTTTTTTCGACTTCTTTTTAGTTTTGGACGTGGTTTCCTCTTCAATGGACTCTTCTTGGATTTGGGTTTTACTCTTTTTGCATTTATTCTTGGCGGGTTTTTCATTAAGTTCTGTTTCTTCTACAATAAGCTCCTCTTTGTTTTCTGTTTTACTCTTTTTGCTTTTCTTGGCAGGTTTGTCAAGCGGATTTTCCTCTGGCGTTTCGACCAGCACTTCTTCAGTTTTCTTTGATTTTTTCTTCTTTTTGTGCTCATTTGTTGCTGCAGTGGGCTCGATTGGCGCTGGCGTTTCCTCTGCAACCTCTTGCTTATCCTTCTTTTTCTTTTTGCGCTTTGGAGGGTTGGCTTCCTGTGTCTCCAGCTCTTCTTCTGGCTCAACAGCATCCTCTTCAGCAGAACGCTTTGATTTCTTTTTCTTCTTTTGCTTCTGGACGGTTTCTGCTGGCAGTACAGCTTCTGGCTGATCCTCCTGTTCCTGGCTTTTGTCCTTCTTTTTCTTCTTCTTTTTAGGCAACTCCACTTCGTTTTCAGTTGGAGTCAAAGCTGCTTCGTTGCTCAAGCTATTCGCTTCAGCAGCTGAGGCATCGTTGGGATTGTTATTGGACGAGAGCCTCTTTTTCATAGCTTCCATTTTCTGCTTAAAGTAATCGTTCACAGAGAGTCCAGTGATCACCGTGTGTACGCCTGCAAAGTTGGGATTCACCGGCTGCTCTTCTTCCTCCGGCTGTTGTTCAATTTGGACAGGCGTCTCAATATCATCGGTAGCCTTTTTGCCAAATATGTTGGCCAGGTCCTTTTCGCTGTACTGAGACAGATCCTTGCCACGCGTAAATTTCTTGTAATGCACACGAGCTTTACTGCTCTTTGACTTCTCCTCTAGCGATATGCCACTGATATTTTCCTTCAGCGTCTTGGGCTTGGCTTCTTCAGCAGCAGCTGCTGCCTTGAAACCAAAGCCCATGGGCCGGGTTTCTTCTTCGGAAGCGGATGCATTGCCACCTGCTTCATTGTCGACATCTCCATTAAGCGCTTTCAGTAGACCATTAAAACCCTCCTCGTGCGTGGTCCATTGATCGTCGCGCGTCTCATAGCCCAAGCCCTCCGCATCGTTCTTGAAGCGCACACGCACAAATTCCTGAGAGCCATCCAGGTTCGCACCGAGACCTCTACCCTTGGACCAGCCCATTTTTTCGAGCATTTTCGTGCCAAAACGCGTATCATCTGGAAATAAAATACAAAATATTTTTTAAAAAACGTAATGTGATGTTAGTTGGAAGCGTTTCATTTTTGTATTCCTCTTCATTCACCTTCGTAGAGCGCCTTTCCGCGCGGACACAAGTTGTACCGTTTGCGGCGACGCGGTTCTGCAAGCATAGCCATTTTTATTGTTAATAACTCGAACTGTAGCCGTATGCACTTTTATTTTATAGTTTTGTTCACAGTTAATATTTATAATAAACTTTTAGCTGCAAATATGCAAGCGCTGCCCATGCTCAACACGTGGAGAATGGCAGTACAAGAGTCGAGTTAAAACAGCTGTTGAGTTTGGCCGTCATGCATACACGACACTGGCATGACAGTTGTGTAGTGTGTGGGCCTTAATGTTAGTAACGCATCATATGTACATATTTATTATAGTTACTTGCTTTTTTATATTTAAATTCTACATTTAAGCAACGTTTTGACATGTCAACTATCAAGCATTCTTTGAAAAATAGAAATTTCACAAGCTCCTTCAATTTTGTCAGTCGTAGCGTGTGTGGGTCATATCAAGCCCAGTCCGATTGTGCTTGATGGACAGCGAACACAGCCGCTGCTGCGGCAATTATTTTTTTTTTTGTTTATATACAAAGTGTTTATGCAAAAATAAGTGATTTTTATTATATTCAATATGGATATTAGCGCGGATGTAGCTGACATTGTCGGACAGGCGTCGGAATGGAATTTCGCTGGCGATTGTGCGCTGCTCGAGCTAATGAAACGTATCTCTCAGGTGGGCGTGGAATTGCATGAAAAAAGTGGCCAATTTGTTGTAATCACAATGTTTTACAGAATCTTCACGAGCGGGGCGAACAAACTAGTCGTAATTTTAGGGAATTCGAAACAAAAGTAAGACGCGTAGATATTGCGCTGGACAATGCAACGAACAGTTTGCGTTCGCTGCAGTTTGGCCAGCAGTTTGTGGAGTACAGGGTGGAGGAGGTGGACGATGACGATTTTGTCCTGCCCGAGGAGCAGCAAAAGAAGGTGCTAAGGTACATAAACAGTGTTGCCAACTGCCGCTTCAATAAACTGGGCAAATGCCGAAAAGTAGATAAGCCGCCGAAAATAGGCGAGCTTAGTCTGAAAATGGATTGGCAGCACTGTTCATTGCATTCGAATTGTAGTTGTATTACACAATCCTCAATTACAGCCCGAGGTGCCATTGAAAAGTTCCCAGGAGCTGGCCGCTGAGTTTCTGCAGAACAATCTACAAATGTTTAGAAAGAACTTCGAGGCGGTGACCATTGAATTGACCGACTCGGATGAAGAGGACGGCACTGTAAATGCCACGTGAGTACTTCCATTGTAGCATGCAACTTCAATCTTAAGCCCCCTTGTTTATTGCAGCACCGTCTATCGCGATAAGAATCCCTACGATACCATACCACTGCCCTATGTTATAGGCTCCAAGGAGTGGCAGGAGCACAAATACGCCGGACTCTGTGATAGCGCCGAGAACAGTGAGGATGAACAGCCCGAGCAGTTCTCCTCGAGCTCGTCTGATGAGCTGGAAACAGCTGCGCCAAAGCCCACGCAGGTGCATCAAGCACAGCACTCGGACTCCTCCTCGCTGGCATCGCTGCCAAAGGAAAACCAGGCAGCACCTGCGGCTCAGCCTGTGCTCCAACCTGTTCGCCAGCCTGAGCCACAGCCTGTTCTGCCAGTAGCTCAGCCGCGACCTATTATAAGCATGCATAGAAATCCACATGAGAGCGATATGTTTGCAGCGCTACGTGCTTCACCGCCCAGTGATGATCCACCATCCAGCTCAGCTTCCTCGCTCAACTCATCGCCAGCCATTTCGCATGCTAACGCTGCGGCGACGGGCCTCAGTTCGAGCAGCAGCAGCACCAGCAAGATAGTCATCCAGGCTAACAGGCAGTCGCCGCCTAAGCTATTCGATGAAGCGGTCCCAGTTGTTCCCGCTGCCACGCCCATTGATGTGCCCAGCGAGGTGAAGCCGACAGCAACTGCTGCCAGTCAAATCAAGCGAAAACCTGTAAATCTGTTCAACGACGACGAATTCAATTCCTTCATGTCCGAAATTGTGGACAAGGTGCAGTCCAAGTCGGGCAGCGGCTCAACGACGCACGCAACTGTGGCCAAATCCAAGAGTGTGCCCAAAGAATCGCCGGCGCCTCAGGAAGTCAAGCCTGTTGCTCCTCCGCGCAAACCAAATGAGACACCGCAGCGTAGCCTAAATCTCTTTGACGACAGCCCACCGCTGAGTCCCAATTTGAGGCCAGCGACAAGCAAAGCAAATCCTGCTAAGAAGCTGCCAACTTCGCTCTTTGATGACAATTTGGAAGATGATGTGGATGATTTCCTGAGTTCCTTTACGGCCAAAGCAAAGCCACAACAACAAAAGCCCAAGACCACATTATTTGATGATGATGATGACCTGGACATAGATGATATTTTTGCCAAGAAGACGCCGACAGTGCAGCCAACCAAAATAGTGAACACAAGCTCGCTTTTCGATGATGACTTTGAGGATGTGGGGAATGCCCATGATATATTTGGCAGGAGCTCAAGAAACGCGGCTGAAAAACAACCACAGCCATCCGAGGCTGCGCCTGTGCTGCCACCAGCAAGGGAGCCGCCGAGTCGCAGTCTCTTTGATGATCTGGGTGATGATGATCTGTTTGGCACGCCCAAAACAAAGAAGCCGAGTCCATATGCTCCGGCGGAAAAGGAGCGACTGAGCGAAACAAAGAGACTGGTTGAGGAGGCACCGGCAGGAGATGTGGCGCCTGCTGACCAAGTCATGGAGCAGCAGCCGCCAGAGCAGGCAGAGCCCATTGGAGATCAAGCCAAAAAGCACGAGCTGCAGATTCCGCAAGCTAGCCAAGATTCGCCAGGTGAGGCGCCGGCAAACTTGAAGGCTGAGCTGCCAATTTCCAAAGTGGATCTATTCAGCGACGATTTCAGTGACGAGGAAGCTGTCATAAGCTCCACATCCCGTACGTCAAGAGATTTAAAAGAGATTAGAAGTGGGGAGCTGCTGCCAGAGCCAACGAACAAAGCAAAAGAAGACCAGGACGAGCCTGAGCCGAAGGATCTTGTGAGCAATAATGAGGAGCAGCATCAAGTGAAACCTGCTCTGCTGGGTGATTTATTAAAGAACATCAACGACAGCTCCGCAAACACAATGGTTGAGGAGGAGGAGGAGGAGGAGGAACAGCCGCCGGCTGACCAGGATCCCATCATCAGCCTGGTGGCGGAGCAAACCAAAAAGTCGACGCACTCTCCAGCGCCGGCGGATGTGGCAGCTGCTCAGCAGATAATGCAAAACTATTCGAGCCTCTTCTCGGATGAGCCGCCCGATGATAGCGAGTTCTTTCAATCCCTGGGCACCAGCAGCCTGAGCAGCCTGAGTGCCACCAAGATGTTCGACAGCGAGCAGGATTTCTATGAGCCTTCGCTGCCCGATTTACCTCCAGCGGCTGCGGCGACCGTGGAACAGCCCAACAATGACTATGGTGGCATGCGTCTGTTCAGCGACGAGCCGCCGGATGATGATGAGGATGAGGAGGACGAACGGGGTATAGCTGCAGCGGCTGCAAAACAGCCGGATGTAGCTGCTCCCAAGCGCATACACACCATCTTCTACGACGACTTCAGCGAAACGACCCGAGCAGGCGCCGCTCAGCAGGCCAAGTCGGCTATCTTTGCTGAGGAGCCACCGCCAGCGGATGCGGTAGCGTCCAAGCCCGGCTCGCCCATTAAGAAACTACAAATGCCCAATATAAACATCAATGTGCAGGCTCTGCTGCCCGGCTCCGGCGCCAGTGCCTTGCCCAAGCCGCCCAAGAAGCTGGAGGAAGCAGTAGCGCCCAGCACCGCCCCAGTTAGCCAAGTGGCGATATCAAGCTCCAGCGAGGCGGATAACATTTTGCAGTGCATTAGCAAGACGCGAGTGCGCGGTCCCGCCCATCGCCGGCCGTCCACGCGCCGAGCACGACAGGCGAACTACGCCAAGAGCTTGCTGGAGGCACAGCCTGAGCCAATTCCTGCCTCATCTACGTCCCCATCGGCGGCAACATCCACAACTGCTTCTCTCTCCAGCAAATCTGCCGGCGTGCCCAGCTTTGAAAGTGATGACAACGAGGCGGATGATGCCTTGTTCAAGGCATTTAGAGCACAGCCAGCAGCTGCTCAAGAATCCTCGCGAGCAGCCATATCGAAGCCAGCTTTATTTTTGGACTGCCAACCGGATGATGATGAGCTCTTTGGCAAAACGTTGGAAAGAAAAACTAATAAGATGCCAGCAACTGCTCCTCCAGTTGATCCGCCAGCTTCTGCTCCAGCTGCTCCGCCAGCTGCTTCGCATGCTACAACTCCAGTTGCCCTGACTGAAGTTTCTCCAGTTGCTCCGCCAGCTACGGCTCCAGTTGCCATGCTCTCGTCCACACAACCACCCGAGGATGACATAAAGCACTTTGATAAACCGTCTCCATTTTTGGATAGCGGCGAGGATGATGACGGTTTTCTTTTCAGCCCATCTGCAGCACAAAGACCAGCACAGTATGCCAATAGAGGTACATCTAGAGCTCCTACTGGGCCACCCAAATCCTATGTATCCTTCTTGGACAACAACGATGAGGATGAGGATGCTATGTTTGCCGCCGCAGCAACCAGGTCAGCAGCAGCTGCTCCGACTGCCTTGCCCAGCCAGAAACCGCCAAAGGATGAACTCAAATCCACAGCAAAATCTGCTTTCTTGGACAGCGATGATGACGACGACGAAGCACTCTTTTGGTCATCCAAGCTCCAGACTCAGACACAGATAGTTGAGCCTAATTCCAGTAAAGTGGAGACGCCAGCTCCGGCTCCAGCTTCCGTTGCCCTGGACAAGTCCAAGCCGCAGCCAGTTAAATCAAAACTCTTTGATGACAGCGACGATGATGATGATTTGTTTGGCAGCGCCGTGACCAAAGCCCAATCAGCTCCCGCTGCAGCTGCTACCCTGTTCGCCAGCAGCAGCGAGGAGGAGCCGGAGCAGAAGCCGCCCAAGCCGCTGACCACCAAAGCAAAGCTGCCCGCCAAGAGTCTGTTCAGTGATGATGACGACGACGATGATCTGTTTGGTGGCGGAGCTGCTGCTGGTGCTAAACGTGCCGCTATAAGCAGCCAGGCCAAGCCTCTGCCCAAAAAGACAGCTGGAAAGACGACGACGGCGACGCCTGTGCAGGCCAGTAAAACCGACGGAGTTGATAATCCGCTGGCCGATCTGTTGGGCCCGTAAGGTATTTTCACTGAAACACATTTTGTTATAATACTACAAGTATGTTTATTTACACTTATCGATGATTTGTTAATGTTTATTACACAACTCTACAACTAAACAGTTTTCGTAAATCTCAAGTACAGTGATCGCACGATAGTTAAAACTGTTCATAAACTTCAGATTAGAGAAATAAGAGAGAATTTCTCTGTTACCTTTTTAGAAGAAATTTAGGTATTTGTTCGAAATTAAATCTATTCATTAGGTTTTATTTCGCGAGTGATCACTGTACAAAAGTCAAGTTTGCAAATTATAATTACTTGAGTAATTAGAGCTCTCAGGTTACAATTACTTGAGAAATTAGAGTGCTCAGGTTACAATTACTTGAGTAATTTAAACTCTCAGAAATTAGAGTGCTCAGGTTACAATTACTTGAGTAATTTAAACTCTTAGATGTTAATTACTTCAGTAATTATGGGGTATTGGCAGGGTATTTAATATCGTAATGTAACTAGGAGTGTGACTTTAATTGTTGCATTAATTTTAATTACGGGAATTTAAAGGTAATTACTGAAATGAATTATTTTACAGGCCTAAATCGTTGCCTAGTGAAACTAGAACTAGAACTAACCAGTAAAGGGCGACTATCCGGCTAACTTTACGAACTGTAACGGAAACTGAGTTAGTTTGTGGCTCTTTGGTCGTTATTCCGAGGAATTTCATTTGTGTGGTAGTCGAGCGGGCTACAGCTAATGAGTATGAATACGTATCTATATCTATTAATATATATAGATGAAAGAGCTCAGCATCGATGCTTTCATTGGCAGCGTTCGAATGAAGGTCAACAAACTTGCTCGAATCCGATCGATTCAATTATTTGTCTGCAACTCGAACATGCTTGAGGCTTGACTCGCTCGAGTGAAATAGTTGTACGAGTTTCCGAAGTGCAATTGACTCGATGCAAAGCTCTAATTTGTATATATATAGTTATGACTGGAGCTTAGTCTCTAGAGAGCCACATCGCGATACTTGCGATAGTCGTCGGACTCGTTGCCCAGCGACAGCTTGCTGTTGGCCGTGATATAGGGATTCGCATAGTTGGCATAGCCGAAGCCGCCGTAGTACTGTATATGCTGCTGTTGCTGCTGATGCTGGGATCCGCGTCGCTGCAGCGGCTGCGCGAGAACCGAGCAGCTGCCCGTCGCGCTGCAGGCGGAGGGACGACGATACAGATTGGCAGCTGCCGCCGCCGCCGCCTGCTGCTGGAGCGGATTGTTGAGCAGCATGGCCAGATAGTATTGCTGCTGCTGCGTATAGTTCTGCAGCAGGTTGTTGCCATAGGCGGCCAGATCGTTGTGCACCTTGCTGATGCCATCCAGATTCTCCAGCGAGATGCAGTTGCGCGTCAGCTTTGTGGGCGGCGACTTGCCGCGCTGCCCCTGCTGCTGATGGTGGCGCAGCTGGGTTGGCGGCGGCGGTGTCAGCTGCTTGGGCTCAATGGAGCAGTAGATGGGATCGTTGCTGGTGGACCCAATTAGCGACGGCGGCGACGGCCGGTGCGAGTCATGCAGATTGTTCTTCAGATCGTCAATGGTTATGTTAAAGTACTTGGCATTCTTGTCCTCCGTGTCCAGCACATGCCGCGGATTGTACATGCCTGGCAGCGTGCAGCGCAAATCCATCAGCGATTGGGCACGATGTCCGCCGTTGCCGTTCCCGCTGCCGCTGCTTCGCTGTGCTCCATTGCTGAACTGCTGGGCGAGCGCTGGGGCGAACATGCTCGCATTGAACTCGTTCTGCGAGCCGAACAGCTGGCCGGCGTTTCCGTTATTCAGGTGTCCAGCGCCCAGGGGCAGCTTGGTCTCATCGCACAGCTGATAGCCGGCATTTTCGAAGCCGCCGAGTCGCTGGCTGGAGCGGCGCGAATCCGCCTTGGTCATGGGCACGCTGGGCGCAGGCGTTTGCAGTGAAAGCCGCGTGGCCAGACCCTGCAGCTGGCTGAGCACCTGCGTCTCGCGACGCCACTTAATGCCCGTGGGTATCACACAAATGAGCGCCAAGCAGTTGATAATCAAGCGTATCAAATAGGAGGTCAGCTCCGTCAAGCCGTGCACCGACTGCAGGCCCTGTGTGGATGGCGTATCAGCGAGAGTTGAACAGCTGCCTTTTGGCATACTCACCCAATGCTGCGTGGTCATTAGCATGACCAGCACCAGCTCCGGTATGGACAGCAGTCCGATTGCCCCCGACCAGGCAAACAGCGGCCAGCACAGGCCGCTCACAAGGCCATGGATCAATATGGTCGTCGCCACGAACATCACAAAGTACAGGGAGCACAGTGCGTAGGCGGCGATGGGCAGCTCGCCGTGCGCCTCCAGCAGCCAAGAGACCTCACACGAAAACGCACCCAGGTAGACAATCTGTGCAAATGAATGAAAATGGGTGAAAATTTGTGCGCCGGCAAAGAAAAGCGAAAACATAAATCAAATTCAAAACGGAAATCTCAATAAAGCTGTCGCAGCTGCAGCTGCAACTGGAGCTGGGAGCTGGAAGTTGGCAGCCGGCGACACATTTGCGCCGCACTCATCCATCAATCAATTAATGAGTATGTCTTGTCTTCTCTCTGCCCGTCCGCCCGCCCGTCCGTCCGCCTTTCTGTCACAAATCGTTGCGAGCAAAAAACTTTGAAATTTTTACGTTTTGCGCAAAACGATTTCATTTCATTTTCACTTAATGGCACAACAAAAAATATATATGTGGCCAACTGATAACGGTACCCACAACAGCTTACAAATAACAAAGATTGCTCTGGTCGGGTTTGCCCAACTAGCAGATACCCTGCATGCTGCCGTTACTTTCTTATACACACCTTTCCACTGACCTCCCGTCTAACTATCTTTGCATTCTTGACTTACTAAGTTCGAACCCATAAGGTATATATATATTCTTGATCAGTATCAACAGCCGAGTCGATGTCCATCCGTCCGTCTGTCTATGCTAGCTAGGCTCTCAGTTTTGAAGCTATCGTCAAGAAACTTTGCATATGTCCGCCTTTCTGTTACTCGGCACACTATCAGAAACGATTGTTCGAAAAGTGGTTTTTTGAACCAAAAACTTATGGTTTTTCAAGATACCTTAACCATGCTCGGTATTTACTATTTTCCCTGTGCATTACGACAACATTACGAAAAGGTTCGGGCTGCAAGGGTGTTAAGTCTTCGGCGTCCCACAGATAGCTTTTCAATCTCGTTACACTTGGGAGGGGTATTCAAAAGGTGAAGCATGTCTGATCTGTATAAGCCTAAACCTAAGCCTAAACCTAAACCAACTCGTTCTTATTATCTTTGAGTTTTGCTTGAATAATCATGTCTCAAAATTTTTTTATTGATATTATCAAAATCGAACTCCATATATATATTCACGCTGCAAATTTCAAGTCAAGTAAATTAAGCTCCTGATCAGCAATAGAAGGTGTAGAAGATGCCGCCTTCTGTTGTTTGATGATTCTCTCTCTCGATGATTCAGAACATTTGCCGATTCAGGGCATAATGTGGGCATATATATAGAGTATACGAGTGTAGTTCACGATTGGTTTACTTACCAGCAAGAGTCCCGCCGCCACGCAGCAGATAATGAATAGATTCGCCTTTATGAAGCGCTCCATGATGCGTTCGTTCCAAAAGTTTTGTATGCTGTTCCCGTTCCCGTTGCCGTTGCCGTTGGCTTTAATGCTGTCCGTCGTCGGCCGTTTCGGCTTCTTGAACGGGGACGGTGAATGCGTTTCACTGGCCTTCTGATAATTCATGATCGCGATGTTGTTGATGTTGTTATTGTTGTTGTTGTTGTTGGCCAAAAAGAAAATAAGCTTTGATTTCGTTGTGTTTTGTGGGCAGTCGGCCTTGGCTTTGGCTTCAACAGCTGCTGTCTGTGTTTTCGTGTGTGGGTCAGTGGTGCGAGGCGATGACAGGCTAGTTCTAGTTCTAGTTCTGGTTATGTTCTCGGATGCTTCAAAATGTTTCAATGGGCTATTTCGAGGCGTTCGAATGCGAAAGCGTTAAGCGGCCTAATTGAGGCTTGTCATGGTTTGGCTTGGGTTTGTTAAAGCTGGCGTTGCCCCTGAAATGGAAATGCAGATGAGTGTTAATGCGTGTGTATGTGCCTATGTCTATGTGCTTGTGTGTGTATAGAAGCGAACTTAACAAAAGACTCAGGCAACGAACTTGTTTCGCGGCCAGTTAACGGCATGTGCCGCCATAGAGACTCCAGCATTCAGCTGAATGCTGAAGCTATTGACCAGTTAAGAAGAGATTTTCACTTTTTTTTTTTATAAGTATTAACATGATATCTATAAGGCAGAGAGGGAGACATGTCCGACCCCATAAACAATATATATTCTGAAACAGCAGCAACAGGCGAGTCGTTATAGCCAGGTCCGTCCGTATGTTAGGAGCCAGAAAGAGTCGGATCTGATCACTATATTAAAAAAGCTCATGTATAAAGATCTCATCATTTATTAGTTCCATTATGCCCCACACATACACCATATGCATATCATGTATATATATATATATATCTCCACATGGAATCCATGGAAACATATTCTTCACCAAATTCAAAAATCTTACGAGCAATTCCCTCTGTCCTGGAGGGTATTCAAGTGTCGGTGTGCGGTTTTCCCTTGCTTTATAATCAGTAGCAAGTTTGTTGCCTAAGTCTTTTGTTCTAACAACACGAAAATTGTGCGCAAATAATTGACGACTTATGTCATGAAGTTGTGTGCAAAACACAAATAAATTCATCAATTATAGCTAAGCGCTAAATGCTCAGACAGGCAGCCACACACCAAACACACACACACACACACATACGCAGACAGTTAATCGTGTAAGCAAACGCCAACGTCAGTTGACGGCTTAGTCAGTCATTTGGTTATCTTTCAACAAAACTGCGACGTCGTCGTCGTCAGAACTGGAGTCTCTGCTCAATGCCGTCAACAGGTGCGCCAACCGCATAATCATCTTCAGCTTGGCTGTTGGTGCGTGGGCGTCGCCTCCAGCTGGGTGCGTTGCCATTGCCATAAGCATAATGCTATTGGCCGGATATGCGCACGCCCATAAGCGGACGGGTCACCGCCCCTTTGGCCCATTGGGATTCAGCTGGCGGTCGGTTTTCCTGTGCCGCTTTCTTTTGGCGCCCGCTCAGAATTGCAACCATTTCTCCTACCTCCTGCTCGCCAATTCTGCTGGCAGTTCTCATAAGTTGTCCGGTTTATTTTTTCACAATTTTTCGGCAGCTATTGAAACGAGTTTAGTTTGGCGAGTTACTCGCCAACCGCTATCCGGCTATTATTAGCAACCGCCACAAATTATTATCTCGCTTTGCGTATTGCTTAAAAATGTGTTAAGTGAAATAAAGCAAAAAGCTAAACGGGAAAACGAACGAACGAGCGTTGCAGCTGTGCCTATCACGCCGCACTTCAACTGCTCTAATCGATTGCCTGGCGAAGCTGTTAACTTGTTTTTAATCGAACGCGGAATTTTACTTTATTTAAAACAATTAATTGAACCTTAAGGCAAAGCAGATCTGCCCGCCAAACAGCCGAAACTAGATTCGCTTTCAAATTGTTTTTAATAAGAATATGATTTGTTTTAAAATAAAAAACTTTTTAAAATAATAATAAATAAACATAAATGAATACAGAACACACCCATTCAAACCCATTTGTAGTTTTTAATATATAATATTAATTTATATAATATTATAATACTTTTTTCTCTACAAGCCTGACCATATATAATATTTATAGAAGATTATAAATGGAAAAACTAAGTATGCTTAATGGGCTTTAATTGATTAATTGTTCATATATGACAGCCGTATAGGAAATAGAAATATGCAACTGGCAAACATTTCAGTATTCACCTGTCAATTATTTTTGAAGATTAGAAAGCTTTATTTTGCTGAATTAGCTGCACAGCATTGCATTCGAGTCGTCATAATGACGCCTGCACGATTGTATTTTGCTTTTTTTTTTGTTGACTTTGATATGAGCTTGAAATTCGGGGCGCCCTTGAGTGCCACGCCCTAAATCTTTTATAGTCTGTTGGCAGCTGTAACACTAAAAGGCGTGGAATTGGCATTACAAAATTATGTAGATTCCACATAATTTGCTGTGAAAAATGCGCCCAACATTTCGAAACGAAAATATAACAACAACAATTTGCATTGTCTACCCCTCCCTCTCTCCCTCTCGCTCTGTCTGTCTCTTTCATGTGTTTTTTGAAATTATATATGAATTTTATTATTATGTCTGACGGACCAGAGATTGTTATATATATGAGCGTTAATGGTTGCAGTTGCGTGGCCTGGCGTGTGACTGCGCCGGGTTCAATAGCATCCACAGCAACAACAACAACAATAATAACAATAATAACAATAACAAATGGCATGATTGGTGCAAATGCATGAATAAACAACAATGCAATGCGGCATGTTTAACTATTATGCAAATCCAGACTCCAAGCCAAAAGCAAATGCGTGAATGCGTTTCAAAATGTTATAAATATATTTGTGCATAAAGTATTTTATTTATGTGTTCGATTTGTTAATGTATTTAGTTCGTTTTGGATGGGCTTACCTTTCACTTTATTGCAGTGCCTGGCATTTAATCCGTCGTAACAGCCACAAAAAGATATATGTCTGGGTAGGGGGGCGAGGGGAAGAGATAGAAATACGAATTGTAGAAATTATCGCTCAAGCAAGAAATGATTTCACATGCGCCACGGGGCCAGGCCTAAGATACACTCCCAGCGCTGCGGGCAGCACTACGCAAAAAAAAAACACACACACTCACACACAAAAACCAGATAAAAAAGAATGACAGTTTCTGCACGCCGAATATTAAATACCCTTGCAGAGATGGGGCTGTCAGAGATATGCGAGAAGACTCGTTGATGTTGGACTTGTTGAAGATTTCCATACGAAAACTTATTTTTCTACCGATTCTTCCTATATGGTTAGATATTATAAGTTATTTGTTTGGTGAACTTAACATTTGGCCATTAGACAAGGCGTGGCCTGCTATATTTAGCCTATTTAGATAGGAAGTGCTGCGACATATATATGTGCTGTTTGCAACAATAAACATATCTATGACAAGTTTTAAACTAAGACATCATATAGAAATAGACAGACAGACAAGGTAATATGTTCCCAGCTCTCAAAGCAGATCAAGTTTATTTATGCCTCGCAGCTGTCTCCTTCTATGGCGTTACACATTACATGACAAAATTGTAATACCCGCTGCAAGGGTATAAATATATAAACGACAAGCGACACAGACAAAAAATTGTTCAGCGTTGAGTCATGCTGAGGGAGAAGTCGTCGTCGCGGCACAACGCAGTTGTTGTTGTCACATGCAAATGCAACAACAACCACAAAAGGAAGAGAAGAGAAAAAAACCGACTTTAATATGTGACATATGTGTGCCAAGAAAATGACAGCGGAAAAGCGCCTGCAACTTAGAGAAAAAAGCCCGCGCACTTGTTCTAACACTTTTACTCGCAGCGTACCAATTAAAAATGTGTGTGCGTAAAAAAACGTGTTCTGTTTTTTTTTTGCTTTTTTATGTGTACTTTTAAGTGTATGTATATTAAGCGCGACACTTGAGCAAAAGCGAAAATGCACTTGAGCAAAATATAAATTTAATTGCGCTTTAATTGTACAACGGTCAAGTCACAACGCACACAGCTGTGGGTCAAGTCCGTGAGAAGCAGCGGCAGCAGCAGCCGCCGCATGCGTAGTGTGGCCAATGCAGTATAAATACGCACACACGCAGGCACACAGAGACGCACACTCGCACACACTTACAGCAAAACCGTAACGGTAACGGTTTAACGCAACGCGCGCGCGCGCCTTCCAAAACAGTTAAAAGTGAAAATCAAATGACTTAGGCAACGAACGCGATTCCCGTAAACTTTTTCAACACTCAACGCGTCAGCTGAGCTCAGCGGCTGCCCCACAACTGAATTGTGCGCTAGCCCGTTTGACTCTGGCTGCGACTGCGACTGCGACTCTGCCTCAGGCAGCGTCGCAGCGGCGCCGACGTCAGCTGTTGCTTATTGAAATCATCTTGAGATACCCCTTAGAAATGTAAATGGGGCATATTATTAGTGAATGAAGTTATATTGTAAGTCAGAAATAGTTTCTTAAAATTAAATAACGGCTATAACTCGAATTGACTTTTGGCTGTAAATCGCTTTAGTCTTGGCCCTGTCTATATGGGCTTGAAGAGTAATACAACCCAAATGTAACTTGAAATTGGGTAGATAAATTGAAAAGCCAGCTTTGTCTAATAGCCAAAAGCATGCAAAAATACTTAGTTCTGGGAGTTAGAAAGTATATAAGAAGCATTTACAATTGGAGAGGGTATATTCTAGTCGAGCACTTATATGTGTTCTAGGGTATGTTCTAGTCGAGCATTCTGACTACATGTTTTATTTGGATGGCTCTCTTTGCGCAGCAAGTTCACTCCCATTGGCCCTGCTGCGCTGCCGCCGTTGATGTCGACGTCGACGTCGACGTCGCTGTCGCTGCAAGCCTTAGTTCAAACAATTAAGAAAAAACAAACATAATTTCTAGCCGGGGAGGCCGGCGCGCTGCATTTGCATAATTTGATTGTCAGACAAACCAAAACAATACTCGTTAAGCTTTTTCGTACCGAGTGCGTCGCTCCGCTCCGTCTTTTGGGCTGGCTAACGGGAACGGGAATTGGTTGTAGTGGCCATTTTTTAACGCCGGACAACAAATGGGCCGAGCTGTCTGTAGGGCCTGCGGTTGTTCTAATTAAAAAAAAACAACAACAAAATAATGTTAATCTCTTTTTTAGTTTTTATTTAACTTCTTCTTTGTATTTTTGTTTTGTTGCCTTGGACATTTTGAATTGTAATTCGTATAAATTCATGTTGGAGTTTTCTTTCCAAACGGTTCAAAAACGATTGGAGAAACATAATTAATGAAACATTCGTTCGAGCATAAATCAATTCGTTGGTTAACAAAGGGCTAAACACTTAAATTATAATATGTTGTTGTTTTACTTTCAGTGATAAAAACTAGTTTTTGTTTTCCATGCCATTTCAAGTGTTTAGTTTTGAACTATTCGAAGAAGCTCGTTGGATTTGTGTGTGTTCTAACTAAATCTTAAGCTAAACTTAAACAGCCTGCTGTATTTTAGGCTTCAGCCCGCCTCCTCTGCGTCCTTAGCATTCTCGTCTCCGACCGGACAGCCATCATCAAACATGGGTCCCAGCTGACCTATGCGTTTGATTTGCTCCATTAGATCGGATATTTCCGGCGTGCAGTTGCGAAACTTGCGCAGATACAAATAGCCGCGGAGCATCTCGTTGTCCAGCACGCAGCTGTAAGGTTGTTGGAAGGGAGTTAGAAATGAAGCCAGAAATAAAAGAGCGCCAACAAACTTACATAAGTGCCGCCGCTGCATAGCTGCCCGTTTTCTCGAGTTGCTCCAGCCACTTGTTGATAATGATCTTGATAATGGGATCTGTGGCGGGCAAATGAATGCGCGCATTGACCAATGCCTCCTTGAAGTACTCGTGCTTCAGCAGCAAATTGATGGCCTCGGTCTGCATGTCAACGGCCAACATATAGGTGGCTGCATGCAGTATATAGCCCTGCTCTTCCATTTGCAAGGCGTAGGCTCTGCAGCACATCTGCCAAAAACTGTCAAGCAGCAAAATTTAGCTGTGTTGGGTTAACAGGAATAACATGTTGCCAGCTTACACATATGACACAGCCGGCGCCACAGACACGTGCCACTCGGTGAGTGTTTTATTTGCTATATGCTGCTCCAATTCTTCGCGCACCTTGAACGTGGTTAAGGCCAGGTTGAGGGGCGCAATGTCCTTGTTGTTGGAATGCTTCAGATTGTTAACTAAAAGTAATGTGGACAGATGGGCATTAATAAAATTAATGAGCAGGCATCTTTGAAAATCAGTTTGAGCCCGATTGAACCGATTTTCAGTCAAGTTGGAGAATGTAACAGATGGAACTTACGCTCCGTGGCAACCAGTTCCTTGGCCATGACTTTGGTGCTAAAGAGTTTAGACATGAGCACGGAATTGTCTATCTTGGCCGGATCCTCAGTGAGAACTATGGCCAGCTTGTCCAGCGCGTATTTATTCAGCTCCTTTTGGGCCAAGCAGAGGCAGGTGCGGCTATGCTGTAAATGATTAGGAACGTTATTAGGCAAATGATCACAATTTCAGCTACATGCCACTTACGGCCAAAAAGCTGTTGGGCAACGCCTGTGATTCCAATTGCTTGCAATTGGTGCACTCCAACATGGAGCTTGTATTTGTGCTCTTTGTCTCTAAACTAAGAGCGCCCAGCATGGACTCAATGGGCGGCATCTGCTCGACTGGCCCGACAGCGGAGTCCTCGGTTGGCTGCTCAGTGGAATTGGAGGGCTGCTCCACAACAGCGGGCGGCCGCTCAGCCTGGTTGGCCTTGCGCTTGTCTCGGCGCTGGCGCTTCTTTTGTGCCGCGTTCAACGCAGGTCCATGGGGCTGCGTGAGAGATTTGCTGGCCCATTTGACCTTGAGCAGCGCGTCCATTTTGGAGCAGATTTGCTTTTCTTTGCGCTCCAATGCCTCTTTAATGCTAATCAGCTCTAACGATAGCGTTTTGCCGCCGCACATGATAATGCTCTCATTGGAGGGCAGGAAGAGGCCGCACCACATGGGACAGTGGTAGGTGATGGTTAAGGGCGGCTGCTCCGGCTCTTTGGTGTTCCACATGCATACTTTGCCCTCAATATGAAAGGTGAGCAACAAATTTTCATGCATATTGCTCCACTTGGCCGACGTAATGGATGCTTTTGGATCGCTGGCCTCCAGCTTGTGCAGCTTGGACCAGCTGCGGGCCTGCAGCTGAAATTCCATGACATGGATTACTCTATCATGGCCAACGACAGCAAACACTTTGCTATCCAGCGGATTAAATGCAATGTCTGTGACATAACGGGCCAACAAGGCCGACTGGCGCAGGCAAGTGTAGCCCAATTCTTGGCCAGGCTTGCGATGATACAGCTTCAGTAGCCCATCCTCGGTGCCGATAAAGAGAAACGCGCCACGCACATACAGATAACTGGGACGCTCCACGTAGCGCAGCAGCAGGGCGTCTGTAAAGTGAAGGAAGTGGAGGATTAGACTGAACACATGGCTGACTCGAACATAACCGGGTCAAAATCAAACATACTTGTCAGAGCTGTTGTCAGGGGCAACTTGTGATTGGTTAGAATAACAAAGCACTCGATTACACGCTAGAGAATTAAAATTCCGTTCTATTTATATTAATTGTGTCCGCAAAAAGTGAAAAATTAAACGTTGCCATTGGATAAAGGGACAACATGTCGCATACACATCATGAACTACTCGAAAGGATTTGCAAGCGCATTGTGGGACAGTTGAAAGAGCGCGACATTGAGGTGGATACGGATTTTATGACTTTTGTGGTACATTTGCTGGTGCGGGACATGCGCTACGGCTTGCTGCACACAGATTTAAATAAGCCAAGCTCATGCCATATCGACACATTCATTAAGTATATCGTGCACGGCTATACGGACAATACAGACACCACCATGGCAAATATGCGTCTGTCGTGGATCATGAAAATGGGCCATGGCATCAAGCTTGCCTATGTGCGCGAGCAGTACGAGGTGAAGTATCAGCAACAGCTCAAGCTGCTAATCGATGACATTCTGCAGTATCCGGAGACCTGCAGCAAGGTGCAGCTGGATCAGCTGTTTGCCAAAATGCAGGTGTTCGTTGCGGCCACCTATCATCTGGGCTGCCCCAGCAATCATGTGCTGCTCAAGCTGGTTGCAATGGCGCTCAACAGCGTCATCGGCCGCAGCGATCTGCAGAACTATGTGCTGAAAAAGAAGTACCATAGACAGGAATACCTGCAGCGACTGGCGGACACCGTCGCCGGGATTGTCATCTACAATAACGACGGGCCCGACGGTGATCGCGAAAATGTGCGCTACGGTGAGTCCGCTTAGCTGCTCCAAAGAACAAAGTACTTAATCTCCCACACATTCAGTGATTGGCGAACTGCAAATGGCGCAGAGCAACACGAGCGCCGCCTTTGATGCTGTGCTGGAGCGACTCAAGGATCTGAGCGGCAAGTGTCAGGCGGCAATCAGCGAACAGTTGCAGTTCAACTGCAAGGAGACCACGTTGTACTATCGCGTGCCGCTGGAGCAGCTTCAGCGGATCAATCAATTCACAGTTACGTTCAATTCGCTGATGCGCTGCCTGCTCGAACTTCAGCGCAGCTATGAGCATACGGCGTACATGGTCAGCGTGGAGTCGGGTCGATACAACTGTGTGATCGCCAAGATCAACGATACGCTTTACATGCGCAGTGCCATTGACTCGGAACTGATCTTTGTAAGTAGTTAGCTAAAACTGAAACATCGATTAAGCGAGTCATCAAACGAGGTTCGACTCGCAACATGTTTGATTTGACTGACTCCGTTTGTTGTCTGCAACTCGAACAATCGAAATAATTGTTAGAGATTTCAAAATGCGCTTCAGTTAAGTGAAAGTAACTATTAAAATTGTGCACCTTGCAGCCGCATTTTGTGTACCTGTCGAAGGTGTGGGGCAATCTGAATCACTACTTCAATCACATTGTGGAGCTGAATCGGCTGCGCGAGCAGCTAGAGTGCCAGGTGCCCAAGGAAATGGAGCAGCGGGCCAAGGACACGATTATGGAGATACAAGACCTGAGCAAACATATCAAGGAAATGCGCGAATGCAGCTTTAATGAGCGCATGGAACTGCTCAAGAAGTACCAAACCGATGGCAACTTTTGCAGCCTGGCCGAGGCGGACATTAAGGAGTTCTGCGGCCTGACGCTGGCCGTGACCAATGGACTGCTGCTGCCCGCCAAGGTGTTGCGCAAGCTTTGCATGAATCTGGATATTAAGTTTGGCTTTCAGGACGAGACATATGCGCGCATAGGCGAACTGTGGTTCGAGCGTTTCATCATCGCCTTCCGGCAGGCCATCTTCAATAGTGCCAATCTGGCGTTACTTTTCAATTTGGATCATGCGCTCATCGCCAAGGAACTGCAGCCGGTGCCCGTCGAGCCGCCAAAGACCAAGGATTTTGAGGGTCAAACCGAAATGGTGGTCACTAACGATTTGTCTGGCGCCAATTGGATTAATGTCACCTGGAATGCGTGGGACTATCATCGCGAAACCATACACCTGGCCGAGATACGCAAGCGCCAGACGCACGACACACAGACTAAGATCAGCTACGGCCAGCGCAATGCTCAGAATCAAACATACAACACACGCCACAACTGAAAACGTCCTCTTCCGTCTCGTGTCATCACTCACCTTTCTTGGGCTGCGAGACGTCGTAGATGCCCAGCAGACGATTCACTATAAAGTAGATATAGTTCTCCTTCCACAATATCGAATAGATTTCCTTTTTCTGCACTGGTCGAAACGTTGTTTTCACCCTCATGCGCTCCACATCTAGTATGCCCACCTGCAAACAAATTTATATTTATGTAGTTTCGTTTTGGTTTTTGTGCCGCGTCCAACAATAAAAGTCGGCTAAAACTATACCATGCCATCAAAGGTGCCATAGGCCAGCTGCAGACAGTCCGGACTCCAAGCCAGCGAGTAGACGACGCTGTTCACGTGGATGCTCTCAATGGGTATGCAGCGCGCCGACAGTTTGGATATGTCGAACAGCGCCAGCCGCTTGTCCGAGCAGCCAAGTGCGATTCTAGAAGGCCATAAAGAATATATAAATATAAGTAAAGGAGCAAGACGAACAAGACTCACTTGTTCATATCATCCGGGCACTCGGCTATGGCGCGCACGCCAAACGCCAAGCAGCCGTAGACCGCATCCACTTGTCCGTTTAGGGGATTCAATATAACCACACGGCGATTCCTGAGGCCGAGCCATATATGTGGGTATGCAGCGCTGACCACGCACGAGATAATGTCTTGCAGTGAGCTCTTATGCAGCTGATCCTTGTGGATTTTATAGTGACGCGTCTTAGCATCGTAGGCGACCGCCCAGAAGAACAACTGTTGGCGACTCAGGGAGACAATGGTGTGGTCATTGAGCCAGTGCACCTGCTTAGGCTTGGCTGGAATGAGAATATGGAGATATATTAAACTTCCTGATCAGAACTGGTCCTCACATACCCGCGGAATTATTTTTACTGTAGTTCTTGGCGCAATGCTCGCCCGTGAACGCATTCCAGATCATGATAATATCGTGGTCATTAATGGACGCCAGCAGTATATCTGGACGTGCTGGCGCTTCCGTTAGGTCCAAGCTCGGCTTGTCCAAGCTGCCTTCCTGTGTGAGCTTGGCGCTGGCTTCCGGCTGAGCTGGGACTGGGACCTGCAGCTGTGGCGATTCGGGTGCATCATGCACCTCGGCCTGGTGGTAAATGTGATGCAATACCTCACGTTTAGGCTTTGGAGCTTCGCCGTCCACGATGACAGCATCATCGCTAGAGGAGCTAAACTGTATGACCTCTAGACTGCCCTCGCTGGAGCCGCTGACCACTGTGCCGCTCTGCTGCTTCTCCTGCGAGTAGCCGCTGCTGTTGTCGCTGCGCGGACCACATGTGCCCGTTTGCTGGCAGTCCTGTAGGGTAACCTCCACCTGCGGCTCAATGTCAGCTGGATTAACACGATGGGCTACCAGTTCCGCCTTCATGGCTTCACAGGCCTCCCTAAAGTCGATGGTCACATTGTCGGCGTTGGGCTTCTCGAGACCCACAAAATCGCCACACTCGTCGGAGGATTTGCTGGCCAGACGCGGTCGCACACTGGTGGGTACACCAAACTCTGACTCCAGATGATCAAAATTGTAAATATCGAAAAGATCGTCGGACTCAGCTGCCGCTTGGGACTTCACTAGCGGAGCCTTAACAGCGGCTGCAGGTGGACTACTGCGCCACTGTTCGGGTTTACTGTCGTGTTCTGCCTTATCGGCCTGCGAATCTTCGGGCCGGATGGACATTTGCCGCCAGGCCAGACCACAAATGCTGGCATTCTGGCCATGTGCGTTCAGCTTGTGCACAATGCACATTTTGAGCAAATCACACACCAAAATCGAGCCGGCCGATGTGCCAATAGCAAACAGATGCTCATTGTAAGGCGAACAGCGGAGCACTGTCAGGTTGTGATTACGCTGCGACAAGAAAGTGGGACGCCGGCAGTAGCTGTTCGATGCGACGCAATAGATGACCAAATCGCTGGCGTCAATGGATAGTATATTACCATTTGATATGTAGCTCATGAGCACATTGAGCAGTGGATACATGCGCGCATCGCGCGCCTCGTGCTGATGGGCCTTGTGGCCAATAATAGCCTCACCCAGAGCGCAATCCCATACTTGAATGCTCAAATCCTCTGCGACAATGGCAAAGTGTTTGCCGTGTATCGACAACAAGTCAGTGTGCTGCTGCTTGCCCCACATGGGGCTGACATCGAGTCCGTTTATGGTTATACGCGTCGACATGGTTTTCACTTCGGCCGCATCCTTGTCGTTGGCGGCCATTGCCGGTATGTAATTGATGCATTTAAAGCCGGTATACAGTAGGCCGCCGTCGGGTGTGGCGACCGAGAGTGGCGTTTGCATGCAACTTGGCGTGGGTACATTATTGTAAATTACTGCCGAAGACATGGCGCCGTTCAATTAGTCAAGAATTGAAAAAGAAAATGGAGAACTTTGCACTAGAATTGACATCTGCAATTGGATGCTGAGTTCTTCCTCCTTCCGTTTGTCCTTACCAATTTTCCAGCACTTGTTATCAGCGTGACCGCACGCGGTATTTTTAAATCGTGAGAAAGGATTGCACAAAATGAGTATTTTTTCTATGCTATTGTGGTTATTATAGTGTTTGTTGCGGTCTGGTCACACTGTTTTTATTACCTGTTTTTACTGCGAATGGTAATACGCAAAAACATATACAAACTGAAAACTATTAAAAAACGACTCATTACATTAGATTTAAAACATTGTGCAATTAGCTATGGATGCAAAGCGTGAGAGAAAGTCTTCTTTGGTAAGTACACATATGAGTGGAAAATGTTAATAGTGTGCTTTCTGGTACAACAGAGTGTTTCATTGTTGGCAGGCTCCACTTTCGCCATGTCCGATACCGGATATCACGGATGATGAGCTCGTAACAATTTCTGTGCGTGATCTAAACCGGACGCTGAAGATGCGTGGACTTAACCGGGAGGAGATTGTGCGCATGAAACAACGGCGTCGCACGCTCAAAAATCGGGGCTATGCGGCCAGTTGTCGAATCAAGCGGATCGAACAAAAGGACGAATTGGAAACGAAAAAATCGTACGAATGGACGGAACTGGAACAGATGCACGATGACAATGAACAGATACGCTTAGATGTGGGCAACTGGAAAAACAAATACAAAGCATTGCTGCAGTTTGCTATTCAAAACGATATACCCATTCCGAGCGAGCTGGAGGGCTGCTGACTGCAACCAGTTAAATCTTATCACATTCCAGTTTCAGTTTCGAAAATCAAATCAAAAAAAACACCTGTAACCATAGTACAATAGCTGGAATTTGATTTGTAATGTCACACAAACTCAATTTACATATAATAATAAACATTGTATACGACGAAGCGAGCCACCCTGTTTGAAAAGTCAAGCGAACCACCCTGTTTGAAAATTCAAGCGAACGATTGGCAGCGCATGATTGTGAATGTCAGAAATTGTACGGAAACAGCTGTGTACGTATGTATTATTGTTATGTATTCATTTCCAAAGTGCACCAAAAACTGATTGTATATATGTACGTGCATACATATACATGTGCTAGCGGTCCAATATTTAACTCAATACATACAATCGCAATTCTTCACAAACGGCCAACGGCATCGGTTGAAGCGACCAAAGTAACGCCTGAACCAGACACTAAGCCATGCCGTCATGGCATTTCGTCGCTTTTGTAAATCCTTACTCTATGGTTTGCCGCTAGGCATTACGTTCCTGGACTGTGTCGGCTATGTGGCCAGAGTTGACGGTAATTGTACTCAAGTTCCCGTAACGAAAAGACAAATATTTCATTCAGGTTTTCCCCATTTGCAGGCACCTCCATGCAACCCGCTCTCAATCCAGTTGCCGAGGAGCGGGATTATGTGTTCCTGTTGCGCTGGGGCATACACAATAGTGCCGTCGAGCGGGGCGATATCATCTCTTTAATCTCGCCCAAGGATCCAGCGCAAAAGATCATCAAACGTGTGGTGGGCATGCAAGGCGATGTGGTCTCCACGCTGGGCTACAAGCACGAAATAGTGCGTGTACCCGACGGCCACTGTTGGGTCGAGGGTGATCATACTGGACACTCTCTAGACAGCAACACGTTCGGCCCGGTGGCCATGGGCCTGATGTCGGCTCGAGCGGTGGCAATTGTTTGGCCGCCGGAACGTTGGAGACTGCTAAAGAACGAACTACCCCGACGACGGCGACCCGTACAGGTGGCAAAGGCCAGCTACTACAGCTAGGCCAAAGACTGAGTCCCGTATGCTGTTGGTACCATTTAGTAGTCACACTGTTTGTACATATACACATATATATATATATATATATTTTATTATCAGTTTTGTGTTCATAGATACGTCTGCCGAACCATGTTCAAAATTGTAAAAATGCCGGTAAAAAGAATATAAAGTAGAAGTATTGTTGTATTAAACTATAACTACATTGTGTCCAGGTCCTGTTTGACGTAACCAAATTCGTGCAACACCGCCAGCGTCTGCTTGAGCGCCACACCGGCACGCACTATACTATAGGAGCCCGGCTTGGCCAGGTCAATCACTGTCGAGGCCAGGCGACGCTCCTCCGTCTGTCCAATGCGGCCGGCATCGAACACAGCACCTAGCTGGGGCCACAACGATTGAAACTCGCTGACCTGGAGGCTGCTGGGCGCACTAGAGCGATTGGCACTGGTCAAGGCCAGCGGCTGCTCATGCCACGTTGCGCACAGATCGCGCATAAACTTGTAGTCAGGTATGCGTATACCAATTTTGGTGGTGCTGGGATTCAGGAAGCGATTACTCAGCTGCGGTGACCGCTCAACGATGATGGTCAGAGGCCCCGGAAGCAAGCGAGTTAGCAGCTCGTCACTCAAGTGGCTAGCCTGACCATATCGACGCAGTGCAGCAATATTGTTGACACAAATGGCCACGGGCTTGTGTTCGTCCCGTCCCTTGATCTCGTACAGGCGCTGTATGGCCTCCTCGTTGTTGGCATCGCATGCCAAACCATACACTGTATCTGTGGGCAAGCCTATCACCTGGCCAAGATGCAGGCACTGCTCGGCCAGTTTCAAGGCATCCAGCGATGCCACAGCACAGACTGGCGTCGGTTGGGTCTGCTGCTTTGTCTGCATGGTGATGCTGTTGCTGCTGCAGCTGGACTGCAACTGTGGCCGGGTACCGTGGAGGCGTCTGAGCAATAGTGTCTGTAGGTAGCGCATGAGTCTAGTCGCGCCAGTTGTGACCGCACTGGTGATTGCAGCACTTGTAGAATGTGGTCATGGGCTCATCCGCTGAGCGTGTTTGTATTTGCATAAAGTAGGCGCGCTTATGTGAGCAGGCTGGGCACTCAGCGTCTGTGGAGTCCACGTTCTCCCACGCAGCTACACCGCCCAAAACGTGATCAACCTCCTGCGATTGGAAATGCCAAATGAGAGCACACACAAACATTGCATCATTCTGTGGTTGCACTTACCTTGAGTCGCGGATAGGTTTTTGTGGATATTTTCCGCTTGATTTTCGATATAAATGGGCACGTGTTGCACGTGAATCTGTGGCTGGACGTGTCCTCTTCAATAATTAATATATTGCCGCAAGACGGGCAGAAAAACAACATCGCGAAATGCGAGCACGTTTAAAAGCCAACTGTTAACTTAACAGAGTTTGTGCTCTGCGCCTAACAGAGTTTGCAACACTAATAAATTTAACAGTGTTGGCTCTCTTGTGCTAACAGTGCTATCGATTAGTCTTTGTCCAGCGTTAGCCAGCACTAGTCGACAGCCGCATACAAAACAAGCAATTTTTTCATACATTTTCTTAAATTGTAAAATTAACGCAAGATGTCGGCTGATGTACGTGATATTTTGGACATTGAGCGTGCTAATACGCCTGAAATCACCAGAGACTCTTTTCTTGCCACCAAGAAGCGCAATTTCGAGCGGTAAGTGCCATAGTACATCACAATTTCCCCCCGTGAAAAAAACATTTATTTTTTGCAGTACCAAACATGCTTCCCGGCGTCCGGAGGGCATGCATCGCGAAGTCTTTGCGCTGTTGTACACAGACAAGAAGGATGCACCGCCTTTGCTGCCCACAGACACCGCACTGGGCATTGGTGCGGGCTACAAACAGAACAAGGCTCGGCTGGGCATGAAGAAGGTGCGCAAATGGGAGTGGGCGCCATTCTCGAATCCGGCGCGCAACGATGCGGCTGTTTTTCATCATTGGAAACGCGTCAGCGATGACTCCACAGATTACCCGTTCGCCAAATTTAATAAGCAACTGGAGATACCTAGCTACACAATGACCGAGTACAATGCACACCTGCGCAACAACATACAAAATTGGAGCAAGGTGCAAACGGATCATCTCTTCGACTTGGCCAGACGGTAAGGCGTGAAATATGTATTATCTCAACTGAACTAATAATATTCATACCCAGCTTTGACCTGCGCTTTATTGTGATGGCGGATCGCTGGAATCGCCAGCAGCATGGCGTCAAAACCGTGGAGGAGCTTAAGGAGCGCTATTATGAAGTAATTGCACTGTTGGCCAAGGCTAAGAATCAGTCCAGCGAGAAGAAAACATATGTCTATGATGCCGAACACGAGCGCCGGCGCAAAGAGCAGCTAGAGAAACTCTTCAAGCGCACCACACAGCAGGTGGAAGAGGAGCAAATGCTCATCAATGAGATGAAGAAAATTGAGGCGCGAAAAAAGGAGCGAGAGCGCAAAACACAAGATCTACAAAAACTGATCTCCCAAGCGGATCAGCAAAACGAGCACGCGGCCAATACGCCAAGCACACGTAAATACGAAAAGAAGCTGCACAAGAAGAAGGTGCATCATCAGCCGCGACCCTCGAAAGTGGACTCTGTGGTAAATGCCATCGAAATAGGCAGCAGCGGCATCAAGTTTGCCGATCTGCGCGGCTCTGGGGTATCGTTGCGCTCACAAAAGATGAAACTGCCCGCGAATATAGGACAGCGCAAGGTGAAAGCGCTGGAGCAGGCCATACAAGAGTTCAAAGTTGGTAAGTTAAATGAAATAATAGTTTAGTTGTATTGGCTTTAAATGGCTTGACATCTGGCCATAGATCCTGCGCCACCTCCCACGGAAGACATATGCACATCCTTTAATGAGCTGCGTTCGGACATGGTGCTGCTCTGCGAGCTGCGCACGGCACTGTCCACGTGCATTTACGAGATGGAGAGCCTCAAGCATCAATACGAGGCCGCCTGTCCGGGCAAGACGCTCAACATACCGCCCTCGTTGGTGCCCATCAAGAGCGAAACGCTGGACCCTAGCGCAAATTAAGGCAGCTTATAGCTGGACGCAGACGCGTCCGTTTCCATGGAAGACAATACGCACGGCGTGTACTAATCAGTGCAACCAACATCAACAACAGTTGCTATCGGCGCGTAACCCGTTTGCCGTTTGCCACTCGCTTTATTTGTACATGTGCGCTACTCCCAGTCTAGTTAGTTGTTAGAATAAACGGAAAAACGAAGAAAATTGTTTTTGCGGCCACTGATCATATGTGAAAATCAAATAGCCAACGGTCAACATGCGATTGCCGCGAGTGTGAGAACTTTTTCTCGCTGTGATTTATTTATTTTTCCAGCCATGCTCCAGACGATCTTGGCCTTAGTTTTCAAACAGAATTTGGGTTACACGGCGACGTGTGTGTGTGTGTTGGCCAAATATGGCTGGCATGCAATCGCAATCTTTGGCCAGCCGCAGTGCAACTTTTGTGGAATTGTCTGCGTTGAAATGTACAATTCAAAGCCTGCTGCTGCTGCTGCTGCCCACACAGCGTTGAGGCGGTCGACTGGTCTTTCGAGCAGCCGCCTGACTCAGCGACAGTGTTGCCAGCTGCTGCTTCAAGAAAGTAGCTGAATGAAGTATAAAAAAAGGCTACAAAATAGCTGCATTTAATTGATAAGTTGATTCATCTTATTTAGGCGACAATGTTGGGACAAAAAAAAAGCTGAATTCAATGTTAAAATTATTTGTAATTCATATGACAATATGAAAGGATCAGGAGTTTATTGTTGAAATCAGTGTGACCAGCTGCCGCTGCAAAAAAGAAGCTCAATGTAATTTGACAATATGGTCCATAGGAACAAATGTTCAGTGTTTGGTACTAGTTTTGCCAGCTGCGCTTAAAAAATCTTAGTATATTCAGTGTTGAAAATAAACTAATTAGTTCTCTGAACACAAGCTGGCAATAATTATGGAAATTTTCAACAATTCAAGTGGAAGATCTGTAATTCAGTCAGAAAACGGCTGAACAGACAGCACTGGGCAGCAGCAGCTGAAGCGGCGACTAGTATTTGTGAATGAAACATGTACGAATCATCATTGTGTGTCGGGCGCGAGCTCGTTTACCTGAGCGTTTCTGAGTCAGTCGAGTTTTTGTCGTCGGCGCGATCAGTTGCTGGCAGCTGGCTTAGCTGTTCTCGAAACGTGCCTCTGTTTTTTCAATAGCTCAGTGTGTCTGCCGCATGCAACAGTTGTGTAAATAAGAAGTAAAGTGTGCGCAAACGTTGTGCAGTGCAAAGTTCGCTGCTTCAGTCATTCGCTTGTTGAGTAGCAAAAAAAAAACCCTAAAAAAAATACCAAAGGCACATCGTAAATAAATGTCGAAACGTAAAAACGTGAAATGCATCTGAGCCGACAAATGCAAATGCAAATGTGCTTGTAAATGTTAATTTGACAATTCTGAATGGCCGTCGGCATTTAACGTTAGCTTGTTACCTGAAACGCGCACAGCCCTTAAGAGTCCTGCAGCCGGGTAGAGGCAAGAGGCAACAGAAAACAAACAGCAAAAAGCAAACGTCGTCGCATCCGTTTCCGGTTCTTTGTGTGCCTGATAGTAGTATTTGATTATTGTACTTGTTCATGAATGAAATGCTGTGTGCGTCATGTCCCTGTCCCTGTCTCTGTCTCTGTCTCTGACCGGCGGTGTCAACTGAGCGGCACATTGTTATTATTGTTACCTACTAGACCCAGACGCAGACCCAGACCCAGACCCGTCGTGGCTCTGGCCCCAGCCAAGTGCACCGTAAAGATCTTTATCGCATTTTTAAATAAGCGCTTACTTGCGTTCTGGAGCAGCAAGCGTTTCTCAGCTCAGCTCAGCTCAGCTTAGCTCAGGTAGATAAAACATTCGGTCAAGTTAATGCGGTTTATTGTCTCGTTGACTGATAAATCGGCTCGGTTATCGTGTCGCATATTCTGCTATTTAAGTTTCGCACGCTGATAAATCGCACCGAGCGAGTGGGAGGCAGAGACTCCAGACAAATACAAATAGCTAGCTGCTTCGACAAAATGTGGCCCAAACTAAGGTGAGTTAAATTTATGGCTAACACACACACGGCCTTTATTTACGGGCCTTTTTAATTTAACTCTTTAAGCAGTTTGAAAATATGGGCCATTAAATTTGCTATGTTTATTCAATAGCAGCGACATTTTTGTTGATTATATTAACCAAAATTTATAATATACTGTCAGCCAGCTGACAACGCCCACCTGATCTGCATGTTAAATGTGCCTGTCAAAGCTATGTTTGCATATATTTGCTTGATCCATATGCATATATATTTAAATGCCGCGACTCTATAAAATTGTGTGTTGATTGAAAATGTTCTTAATTACAAATTGTTGTCTAATGATGCTTTTATTCGACTTGGCCTCAGGCCTTGAACTTAGCGCTAATAATATAGCTGGCAGTTAGAAGAGGCCTTTGTAATTATTGAATTAGGCAGCGCTGATTTGTATTTCGAATTTCTAGGTTTCAGAATCTATAATAGTTTATTTAAATACTCTGCCGCTTTGATTTTGAATATAAACTATATTAATGCATTGCAAAATGAATAACGAACAAGTTTCTCATCCGTCTCTGCGTGTATGCAATTCCTAAGCCTTAAATAGTTTGCCTTTCAGTTAGCTATATCAAAGTCTATTTAAATGTAAATTCTGTTCTGTTCGATTGCATTATTTGGGCACAGATGAAACAAATCAAGCTCTTTTTGACCCTATGAACTTTGCTTTGAGGCCCAATCTATTCTATTATTTGGGCTTTTATAATATCAGTTCATTGTGTAATATATAATTTTTGTATTTAATAGTTTTTGTCACAGCAACATGTGTCATAGACATTTGAACTCTTCCAGAGCTTATATGTGTATTTGTATTATTATTAATTTATGTAAAATCTGACGCGTTGCGTCATGAGGTTTTGGTTGAGCTCATGAAATGCTGCTAACTTTGTTAGACAGCCGCACTTCCGTTGCGCGGCAATTATTGCGACTGCCTGCTGTCATTTAAAAACCAAAATGCGTTAAAGTTTTCAAAAATTATAAACACAGACATGTGTCTATGCGTGTGTGTGTGTGTGCATATTGAAGAAAATGAAAACCTAGACGAAAGACTTAAATGTAATGTGATTGCTTTCGTTGTCGTCGTTGTTGTTGTTGTTGTTGACAGCTTGAATGGCTCCAAGCGGGGCCCCGACAAGAAGTTTGTTCAACCTACGCACCTTACACACAGCCACACACACAGACACACAGGCGGTTATTCAGTTTAAGCGCAATTAGCGCTTTGTCGTTGTTTTCTTTCGTTTCTCTATGTTGACTTTTATTCGACAACCTTTCCATG